AGGGGGTGGGTGAGATGGACTGGCGCGGCAGGTCGGGGGGACGAAGAAGAACTCGATATCTCATTATCGGTCGATCGTAAATTGAAGTTACCGGTGTGGAGTAACGAGATCTCCAATTATCCTCCGGGACAGTATCACCTTGCGCAGCCGTGTGCAGGTGTTGGCGCGAGCGACGACTCGAAGAAGGGAAGGTGTTCGACGATGTATCCATCCATTGGAGGTTCTTAGCTCCTCCGTCCGTCGGGGATGCTCGGATTACGAAAGACAATGGTCGTTGGCCGAGCTTCTAAGATAAAAATAACGGTCTCGTTGTCTCCATGGTCTTTGCCAGCGATTCCCAATTTCCTCTCGCCAGCTACCCTTCGCGTCTCCCCGTTCCATCTCAATCTCGTTCGCCGCGTGTTCCACGGCTGCTGCTGCGCTACTCTTCACGGCGGAAAATCAAAAAGCTTTCGGTTAGGTAGACCTTCGAGGACCCTCGTCCTGCTAGTACCTGACGGCAACTCTTCAGCCTCAGTTTCAATACATCGTGCTGGCATCGAGCTCGAGTGTTGCAGCAAGAAGCAGGCAGGTGGGTGCTGTCGACTTGTCCTCTCTGTCTCTGGCCTCTCCTTTCCTCCCACGGATGCCCCTCTACCCCCTTGATCATCTGCTACCTTCTTCCGTCACCCTCGCAGCGCTGTTTCCTTCTACCATCGCACCGTTGGTGGTGTCTCTATCGTCTGATCGCTGGCTATCCCTGACTCTCCCGCGACCGTGTCGCCAGTATCAGTGTATTGGTAATCCATAGGAAGTTACCGCGGGCTCCTCTTCTCCCTCCTCTCAGGCCGACATCACCCTCTTTGCTTCGTCCCCGTATCTTTCTCACTCTGTACCAACACCAGCCCCGTCTAACTTGGACGCCGTTACTATATATCCGCTTCGGAGTCTCTTTCTCTCTGTCCCCGGTGTCCTCCTCGTCGCCCTGGTATCACCGGCACCCTTCTCTCTCCCTCCATTTCCTCCATCCCCATTCCTCCCCCCTACCATTCTACTCTTCCACCGCCTCTACCCGTCGCACTTTATATATCGGCCGTCCCTCTCTCTTTATTCCCATTCCCATTCTCATCCTCTTGTTTTGGTCCAATAGTCAGTCGCCGGTCTGATCGATGATACGCCAACAGCCAGTACTGCGCATGGCCGACTAAATACAAACTCACTCCTTATTATACCGGGTGTGCCAATAAAGGGGGTGGCGGGCCAGAGAATGGGAAGGACGACGGGGGTGGAGAGGGCGACCAAGAAGGCTAGAGGGAAGAGGTGGAGGAGGGCGAGGAGAACCATCGTCGTCGGAGTTCTGCGCTCCTTCGAGCTCCTACGAACACCACCATAAAGGATCTTCCTCTTCCTACTCGCGTTGCTGCTACCGGCTGCTTGTGCATTGCACCCCCCCCCCTTCCTTCCACCCCTCTCTTTCTACCTCCACGTTACGTCTATATATCCATTCCGTCAGCGTGCTTCGGTGTCTCCGTCTCCTGGTAAGCTATTCCAGGATGCCGAAGGATAATCCCGGTACGCGATTTCCGATCCCGAACAGCTATAAAGGACTCATTGGCGACGGACCCAGAGAGAGCTTTCAGCGACTCCTGAGTTCTGCCTCTCTATTGGATTCCTTGGCTCGTTTCGCGAGCTTCGTTCTCGACAGGCCGGCGATACTACTTCTTCGTGTATAGCGAACATGATGCGATACTCACGTGGACTCGCCACTTACACGCTGCATCCTTCTGTTGGGGAAGATGAATGATCTACGTGCTTGTTGGTTGCTTCGGTGAAGATTCACGTTGGCCTCTTGATGTAGACTCTAGATTCTTTCAGATTCTAGGGAGATGTCTGTCAAGGAACAAATATACCTTTGCGAACTTCAGACGGTGTCTTCAAGGCATATCAATTTCATAAATCCTGTGACAAACATCGTATCGAATTATTCAGGCACAGAAAATATCGAGTGATTTTATGTAAATGGTTTGCACACTGCGACAGAGGGTACCAGTGATCCATAGGTACACCAAACTCTTGACGGTGAAAATAGTATTAAGATAAAGAAAGAATTTTCTAGTAAATAGAATTGTCAGAATAGACAAATAACTGATAGTTCCCGTGACCATCATCTCTGCCCACAAAAATCACTTCGAAACCCATGCACTGATAAACAAATCGAGCGGAACGCCCATTCTCTACGTCCAACGGATAGACGTCGGTAAAGAAAACAAGAAGAGTATAGCAGACCGCAGTAAACCAGAAGTACATACTTCGCGAACAAGAAGACCGTTTAAACTCAACTTCATCCGTGTCACGTCGCTCGAAACGAACGCGTCGCTCGTGAACGTGGTGTCTCCGCGAACACGCTTGGAAATCGAATAACAGCTTTATGATCGGCACAATCGTTTACGCATCGGTGAACAGGACACTGTCCTCGATCAATGAAAGATTTGCTCGGAAGGATTCCCTCGTTCCGCGGTGTACCCATTACCATTACCACGCAGCCTCCAATCCCTTTCATTCCTCCACATTCGACGTGTCCGCTTTTCCACTATCATCCGCCCCTGGGATGACAGGACTGTTACGTTCGATTACGCGATTCCAGGGGCCCAATGGAACGGATCGACAGTGTCAGAGACACTTGGTAACCGGAGAAAATTGAAGGATCTATTCGAACGTCTTTCATCCACGGGGCAATCGGTGTAGGGACCATCGGACGGCGACGAAATGAAAATTCTTTGTCTACGGTACCAGAGCAACATTTGCGTCGGGCATTTTCCGCGCTTATAGGGAGGGGGGAGAGTGGTCGCTGATGGTAAAAAAAAAAAAAAAAAAAAGAGCACACGAGCCCGTTCGACGGCTCGGCGGAAGATAATTTCGGGGTGGCAGCGCAAATTGACAGGGCAACGGGAACCCATTCGCTCGAATTACGTTCCAATTCTGCCGGTGACTTTAGCATTGTTGCTACAAATTGGTACACGCCCTGGCCTCCGGCCGTACACACCCTCCCCCTCGCCCGTGTGTTCGTGTGTGTCTGCCTGGTGCACATGTCTCGCAAATGATGCGTGTGCAGGCCTTTTTAAATAACATCCTCGCGCGATCACGTACTCACCGGCAGCCGGAAGGAGTCGGTGCTAGCGCGTTACGGATTGGCCGCCGTCGAACCCGAACTGTTTCGAAACGTTTTTTTGAATCGCGGCGCGATGGATGGACGGCGCCGTATTTTTCGGACGAAACTGTTTTGGTAGTCCACGGGAAACGGTTTTGGAAATGTTTTTTGAAAATATTTTTACACGATGATGGAACTGCATCGGAACAAGCGTGGGTGTTTAGGATTTATATGATTTGCGCGAAGTTTGGAATCTTCTGGAAAAATGGAAAGTGAAAATGAGAAATGAATATATTTGCGAATCTGTCAAGTTTTGAATAATTTGGACGTTTTTTTGATGAATGACGTCCCTTTGATTATTGTGATGTAATGATACAGGTTTAGAGAAATTTCACTGTTTCATTGTACACTGTACAAAGGAAAGAAGAAATGTCTTGGACCGAATAAAATCAAAGTACGTGTAAATGTAGCACATGTTATATAGCAAAGTTACGAGTCTTGTTAGAAAAACAAAAAGAAAAATGTTATGTAACATGATGCTACATAACATTTTTCTTGCTGCGTAGCAAGTTATATGTTATCCATCAATTGTGACGCTGTTTGCTGTACAGTGTAGACGCAGCTTCACAGAAGAAAAAAACACAGTAAACTGTAACGTAAAACTTTATATCCATCACCTATTTTCAGTTTTTTCACCACTCAGATCTATTTCCTAGATAAAACAATAAAAGCAATAGTACGGTCACATTAAAAGTTCCAAGGTTAGTTATCATTCAGAATGTATTTTCCCGAATCTGTGCGTTCTAGAACCTAACAGTTCACCGTGGCAGATTTCTCCAAATCAACCTCCACCTAATGATCTACGCACGGTGACTCCTCGAACGAGGAAACGTACGGCCATACGAGTGCCGTCGTAACAATGACCAATTTCAGCGATACGATTAGTTTACCTACCGTTAGTTCACGGCCCGGGGAAACTTGGAAATCGAGCTCGTTAAAGTTGAAACTCGTCCGAGGGTTTACGAACGCCGGTCCCGAGGTAGCGGCGGCACGCGTCGCCGCCCTAGGTGGTCCGATGATCAGAATCGTTAACAAGTAGCCTAACGGGACGGCGAACCGCGAAAAACAGGATAACGAGCCCCTTGGTGATCGTTTAAGCGTAATAGTTAACTATGAGGAGGCATGGAACCGCGAGCACGTAACCGATCGCACGCCATCGCGTCCCAATTAGGAGACAATGATCATTAAATGGACAAGTGAGTCCGGGTCCGTGGTCGGCGACGTTTAGACGAACCTGCGAACGTTTCTTTGGCTACTAGACTTTAGAAACACTGTCCTTTTGCTCATTTATACCCAGATAGCACATTTCCCTAATGACGCCTTGAAGACGGCTTAAAGGCGCCTTAGACGTAAAATAGGCGTCTCCAAGGCGTCGTGTGCTATCTGGGTATTAGACTAAGGTTTAGTAATCTCGTGGTCGGCGACGTCCAGTCGAACCTGCGAACGTTTCTTTGGCTACTAGGCTTTAGAAACATTGTCCTTTTGCTCATTTATACCCAGATAGCATATTTCTCTAATGACGCTTTGATGACGGCTTAAAGGCGCCTTAGACGTAAAATAGGCGTCTTCAAGGCGTCGTGTGCTATCTGGGTATTAGACTAAGGTTTAGTAATCTCGTGGTCTGCGACGTCCAGACGAATCTCGGAACCTTTCTTTGGCTACTAGAATTTAGAAACATTGTCCTTTTGCTCATTTATATAGGACTAAAGTTTAGTAATCTACTGAAAAAGATGTGACACATATAAATCGGTATGAAGAAGTATTGTGGATTTTGATTCTAAATCAATTCAATGATCCGTTACGACTGTCGCAGGTGTGGTTCCAAAATCGGAGAGCAAAATGGCGCAAGACCGAGAAGTGCTGGGGCAGAAGTACCATAATGGCGGAGTACGGCCTGTACGGGGCGATGGTGCGACACTCGTTGCCGCTTCCAGAGACCATCCTGAAAAGTGCCAAGGAGAACGAGTCGGTGGCGCCGTGGCTGTTGGGTAAGAATCTACGAAATCGTTTCACGAAACTTCCAACAAACTTCCACATTAAGTTTTGCTAACTGCATACGCATGTACACGTCTCGAGAAGTTGCTTTCACAAAACGAAAATAGAAGTGAACTTAAACGCATCGTGGTCACCGGTGGCTAATACGGCCAATTCAGACGGTACGGATTTTTGGCCGATTCGGTAATTTTAACGAATCGATAATAACCGAAAGCAGCAATAAGAAGTACAAACAAAGACTGTAAATATACGCGTGTGAATGTGATTTTCGGTAAAGATACAGAATAGTATGAAAGCTGCTTTCTTAGCGATTCGGCAAAATTACCGAATCAGTCGAAAAATCGTATCGTCTGAACCAGCTGTAAGTTTTGTTGGAAATCGTCCTGCGCAGAGCCAGCAACGCTTAATGATCCCGCGAAAAAAAAAGGAAACAAAAGAAAAGAATCGAACTAATGGGGGAGCAAATCTCGATTTTATTTTTCTGTTCGTCTGTATCAGCTCAATCATCTAAGACGAGCAGCTTTAGTCAAGATATCGAAAATAATCAAGAACTGATTGACTGTGGCCCCGCAGGGATGCACCGGAAGTCAATCGAAGCGGCGGAGCATCTAAAGTCCGGCGGCGAGGACAGCGGAAACGACCACAACGGAAGCGGAAGCAGCCCCCATCACAGCCATCACCAAGGCGGACCGACCAGCTCAGAGAGCGGACAAGAAAGCCAGGATGGGATGGGACCTTCTTCCTCGACAGGTAACACTCTTTGAATTAATTACATTCCTAACCGTTACACGATGCATGAAGGTATCATGGTTTAGATACGAAATTTCTTCTTTAATTTCATAGAGTACGATCACATAAAAAAGATAATGACAATTGAGAGCTAAACTGCGTGGCATAACCGTGAAATCACCCTAAAATTTTCAAGCCTCATGTATTGTGATTAAAATTAAAACAAGTCACTTTCCTAGAGAATATAGTCTATCCTCCACTGAAAAAACATTATTTCTCAACACGATTTCAGACATGGCATACTTGGTTTGTATTTTAACCACAATATCTACACAAGAATTAACAATTTTAGGGTCATTTTATAGTTATGCCACGCCGTGTATGAAGTCATATAATTCACGCTGTTCCTTCGGAAATCTTCTTGGGGAACATTGAACACTGTTGCCTCGAAAATAGTATCATCATTCGGAAATCTTTACTGTACTAGACATTAAGAGACTAAAAAAATACAAAAAAACTTCACGAACCTTGAAAACATAACATAATTAAAATCTCAGTGTTCCCATATCAATCGAAGGAACTTCTACCGACGTCAACGATTAACCCGATGAAATCTACGGTTCGCAGGTATCGTTCAGGACACGGAGCAGCTGAGGAACGAGAGCATCGCCTGTCTCAGGGCGAAGGCGCAGCAGCACCAGCTACAACTGAGCCTGCAGCCCACAGCGGCGCCGACCAGCACCTCCTATCCAGCTGGTCCTCAGACGAGCACGCTCCACGCCTCCGTTTAATCACCGTTTCAACAGCACTTTCCGTGAATTATCGAACCCGGGGAATCGTTCACAATGCCCGAGGCAGTCGTCTATATCCGGGCTGATCGTTCGCGGAGACTCGATCGAACGAGTTAGAGCTGCATCGTCAACCCCCCTCTAATCATCGATCCTGACACAGGATCTATCCACTACGATCCCCCGAAAGAACGTACTTCGAACAAAACGAAAGAGACAAAAGTTTCGAACAGGTGATCGGATCGAGTACAGAAAAGAAAATCGTTCTTCTTATCCTGAAGGTGTCTGTAAGAGACCATGAATTGTCCTAGAGACTGAAATCAGGGTAAATACAGTCTGGCGGAGCTGCCTACCGGAGGGACATGTGCGAAACGGCACACATACACAACGAAATACAACGTCGCCACGATCAGGGCCGCGTCGTCGATGCGATTGCGAGTGTCGCGGCAAGGCCTATGCGGTTCTCGTGTTCTACGGGTGTCCCACACCCACGGACGAACCGGCTGGAAAAAAAAAACGGGACGAACAACGAGACTTACACTTCGGGTCGGTCATCATCAACGAAAACGGTGGCCTATGGACGGCCGGTGCGCGATCACGGAATCGTTCGAAACTACTCGTATACTCGCGCATCGTCTAGAACTCTGCGCCCCCTGTCTAACGATCGAGACTGATATATCGTTGGATTCAGGGGTGAATGGACGTAGACGTGAGATTTACGTAGAGTGGAACCGCGAATAAGTAATTGGGAGTTGTCGCTTTGAATAGTCTGTGTACGTGTGTAATGTGTATTATATTGTACATGTACCGATATAAATGTACAGAGTGTTCTGCTACTGGTGTCAGAAATTATAAGGGGTGATTATACATAAGAAATTATCACGAAAATTAAGAATGACGAAATTAGGCTAGATGCTTCGTTTTCAAGTTATTAATAGTTACAAATTCGAGCTAAAAACGCCTGAAATCAGGCAATCTGCGTGCAAACGGTAATTACAGGGAACGACAGTGTCGGCACGTATATTGGCGTCGCTTAAAAAACATACACCGTTACCTTGTAGTAAAAAAAGTGATGTATAACAGCTGGACTCGAACCTGGTCTATGTTCCTGGTGATACTTCATAAAAGAAATACACACGAATCGTTGTAGCACGTTGACCCAGATTACTCGTTCATATCCACAAGAAGGACCACAGCATACACGCAGAATAATCACTAGATAAACTAACGTAAACTAAACTGAAACTCACTATAATAAATTAAATTAGTATGAAAAACACAAATGCTCTTCGAGAAATACTTCACGCCGACCAGATGTTCTCTCGTTAACGACTGACACCGAACTAAAGAAACATTACTCGAATCCTACGCAAAGGGCAGACACAAGTTATACAAATGTGTAAACAAACAGTGGAACGACATCTTATAGACAGAGATGGGAATAATTTTATTCGAATAATACATAGTGAAAAGCTGAATTATCTAAGGGCATCATTCTGTGCTTTAAACAGTTAATGAGATTAAATAATTATTTACCAAGTGTCGACTCAGTCAAGAAGAAGAATTATTTTATTATAAAAATTGGAATTTCCACGTTTGAATAATTACAAATGACGAAGTACTTTTGTATCTTTTATTCGTTATTCGAAACTCTTTATCTAGATAATGAATTTGCCCATCTCTGCTTATGGGTAAATGAATACGAGTTGGTTCTTCTTGACTGTGACCTTCGTACCCTAAAGCTTACCAATTTTCGATTGTCTAATAACTTGAAAGCGAAACCACCCTCAGAATTTCGTCATTCTTCATTTCTATTTCATTTAATCGTGTAAAATTATCCCTTAAAGTTTCTGACACCAGCAATGGAAGACAATGTATACATAAGTATGTATGGCGACACGAGCAAGCGTTTTACCGTGAGGAAATCGAATAGCGCGTGTTTGCGTACCGTGGAACGAAGGATTCGCCTTAAGACCACCGAACGACTTGCAACGAACGACTAATTAAACGAATTACCCTGAGTGAGACGAGGAAACGAGGAAACGAATTAGATGCCATAGACACACACACACACACACACACACACATCGAACTCGACCTCGAGGACGCTTCCTTTGACGTCACTCGCGATACGATTATTCCTCGTGGTCTACGGAACACGGAGACAATGGGAATAAAGACAAAAGATCCTGGATTTATTTGATCAATAACGAATGAATGTGCTGCGTGTACGTGGGTGAAAGAGTGTGTGAGTCTCGCGATCGAGCGAGACAGAGTGCAACAGAAAATGTTTATTAGCGAACACTTCCTATATCCCCTCCCCTCCCAAGTACTTAAAAGAAGAACGTAACTGTTGTCAAATGTGCAATATGTCGGTATAAGTTCTAGTTCGTTAAGGCATTATACTTTATTTACGGATACACCTACGTGAGGCGGTCTCGTCGGAGTAATGGCGTGTCGACGGCCGTAAACGGAGAGCTCGATGTTAATTAAATCGGATTGATCGTGGGATACCAAAATAGTGAGGGGAGCGTCGAACTATATGCGCTGAGCTTATTAAACTCCGGGACCTATATACGACGCAGGAGCAAAACTAGCCTCCTGGAGCCTGAAAGTTTGGCGAAACAACCAATTAAAAATCGACTGGTTTGCTCGTTACAGTAATTCGACCGTAAGAATGGTCACTTTGACAAGACCATATGTTCCCGGAGAATCGTTAAAAATATTATTGTAAATTTCGAACGGCGAAGTGTACTTTGATCTCGTGGTTTCGAGCGTTTCCCCATAACATTTTTTCTTCATTCCACGATAATCAGAATGACGCCTAAGAAATTGTGATGGGCAACTAATTGTAATTTTTATTCTTCCACTTCGAAAACGAGCTGTCCAACCGCGACGGCGCCGTTATCTTACCCCTACCCGCCCACTGTATATAAATATATAAATACAAAGTATATATATAAATATATATATATATGAAAGAATATAAATGCGAATATATGTGGTTACGAGGCACGCCAAGTCGGACGAATCTCTGTGTGCGGGTTCGCTGTTCGAGGTCTAGTTAAGCGATTTCTGCGAGTCTTGGCTCCCGATCGCGTTAATTTTTGCACGTTAGTTTTTTTCGATGAGAAATGGCCCCGCCCCGTTTTTCGGGGTACGAAATACGACCGCAGAAGCTTTCGTTCGCCTTGGACACAATGGACTATAAACACGTAACGTTTACGCACTATAATTTAAACGAATCAATTACGGGACGAGGTAACCACATGCTCCGCAGAGGCAAAATGGGTGATATGGTTGCGGGGATATGAACACCGTGTTGTTGTTTGCGAGAGACGCACATACACCGCACGAATAACAACGCGCTTCGGATCTCAAGCGAACTCCCTGTATCCGAGTGCCCCAACGCATGCATAGTAGTCGGCTAGTGTATGTAATGAATAAAGTTTCTGAACAAAACGATACTGCGTTCGACTTATCACGTTTGACACCCCTCGACCTATCCCTTTCCTTCGAAAAACTGAATTTCGTGAGTTGAGAGAATTATTTTTGGAATTATCAGAAATGGAACTGAAATTTTCCGAGTTGAGAGAAATTAGTTTTTAATTATTAGAATTGGAATAAAAATTTTCAGAATTGGGAGTTTTTTTTAATTCTTGATGATTCTTTGTGATAGTCATTTTTACGTCGCATAAGTTGGAGAAGTAATTCTAAATGTTGTCAAGATAGATTGGTGCAGATAATATATTAGGATTAAATTAAAGTAATCCAGGTTCCTCCGGTTTAAAGATTAAGGAATAGTAATTGATGTTTGTCCAAATAAACGTCGGCACCCACGATGAAGCCTACATTCAAAGAAGAATTTTATATTGTGATGAAACTGTGAGAAATCTAACAAAGAGAATTGTTTAAAAGTCAATACGTCACCCGAAGTTCGTCGTTTTATATACATCGACCAGAAACGTACATATTTATGATTCTTAAAATATAGTTACTTCTGTAAAGTTTTAGATACTTTCAATATATTTATCTTTTAATGACAGATTTTTAGAACAAAATATTCTATAAAAGTTTCCTTTGAGAACACATAAAAGAGACGTAAGAGCAGAATATCGTTTACGTGACAAGGCTTTGTTTCGTTAAAGCCAACAATTACGTCTAATGAGGCTCTTGGATTTTTCAGAGATCACGTCGAACAGCACTGGATAATTCTCATTTTAAAAAAATGAATTATGGGCTTAGATGCATCGTGAAATTTTTTCACGTCGCATTTAAATGTTAATGGTGCCCTTTGTAGAAGGACCTTTGACGTGAAAAAATAATTAAAAGTTCATTAATTATCAGACGGTACGAATTTTTAGGCGAATAAATTTAAAAATACGCTTTCGCAGCCGAAATTTTTAATGAACGTCATTATTATTTCTGAAATCTTTGCACAGTATGTTCCATTCGGTTTCCTCGTTCATGTTAAACATACATATATGAATACTGAAACATTTTATTTCGGAAAACAAATATTTCACAAGATTTGTCGTTCGATGGAGTAAAACATTCAATTTGTGGCACGGATATAGTTATGAAACATAAGCAATAGTATATTATATAAAACTGTTCAGAAAATTTCACATTCGATACCATGGCGACATCTATACTGAGGTAGACATTATACGACAGACTTCTACTTCTAAGTCGATCGCTTCGATTGGAAAAAACCATCGGTAAGTTACCAAAGCATGATACACGAAAATGTTAAAAAATATTCTTCATCCACGGCACAGACGAGATATAAGAATAGACCTAACATGCAATGTAATTTTCTGTCCCATGCTTCGAGGGCGTCAGAAGCCCCCTTACCATTTTAGTGTCAGTATCCGACGTTACCGATAAAGCATGAATTATCTTACATTTGTATATTTGTAACAGATAAATTCAGAATAGATGTAGTTTCATAAATAGTTTATCAAATCTACCTTTTGGCCAGCGGCTTTCACTTTCCCTTGCGGGAATACCTTACTGTAATGAGCCATCTCGTAGCCGCGGGATTCCGGGAATCGGGTGAGACGTCAAGGCGTGCGAGCGAGAGCGGTAGAGCGAGCCGCGATATCGGTGCTCTCCGTCGGTGTTGACGCATGCCGAAGAATTTCGGTGGTCTATGGGGGAATTAATTATTACAAATGTCAATATAACGAAATATCTTTTATGCGATGTGTGTGGTGTAATAAAAATCTGTGTTTCGATTACGTTTTTGATACGTATTACTCACTTATATGTAATAATATAGAATACAAATACACTGTTAGTCCGGTATTTGAAAATATACATGCGTTCGTTGTCACTGTTAAACTGTTGTAATAACAATGGATTAATAAAATAATTTACTCAAATGTACATAATAATACATACACATATTCATAAAAACAACATTAAACGCAATAACTTTTTTGTACGCGAAAAAAAACCAATAGGTCCGTCGGGACTGGAACCCAAGACTCCTTTCTATACTGTATAATACGTCTACTTTACAGTGAACGGACGAAAGAGAATCCGTTCACGACCATAGTCCCTTCGATGATTTTCCGCCGTACCGAACACTCATGATCTGACAACATTTCATACTTTAGACTCGACAACACTGTAGAAGTTAGACTAGTTGAGCTAGAATGGATTTAATATAGTTCACAAATTCACCGTTCTCATAACGTAGAGGGCAGCAGAAAATCCCTGACTTTTTACACTATCGGTATTTCAGAACATGAGACACGAAGTCCCATTAAGATGATAGGTCTATCCTATACCTAGTCGGTGTCAACGGGGACATAACTTATGTCACATAAGTACAGTAGACATTCGTTTCCCGCGCCACCGTTATATGTATGTACGAAACGTAGCCTACTCTGTCGCCCAGCACGCCCAGGCCGGAACACATACGGTGTCGCATTTAACTCGCATATCTCATCACGGAATGCGCAATGTATATAATACTGTTTTAATAATGTTTTTATTGGTGCAATGAATATTGGTGGAATGAATATTGGTGACAATTTGATTGCTTCTTGTTCTCGCGGATCACACCTAATGGGTAAAAGATGCTAACCAAGCTAGACATTTGCCACTAAAATATGTCACGTATTATTAACTTTTTCACATAATACCTTAATACTTTATTACGCAGAATGTTTGGAATGAATGTACGCAGAATGTTATGTTATTTTTATTAATTATCATTAATAAAAATAACATAATTAACTTTGAAAACATAGAAGATACTCCACCTACGAAAAACTTGTTGTTAAAAACTTTTGTGAATAAACTTTTCTGATATCTCTAAAAATAACGGAGATGAGAACGGCCGAGTGATGGGGAAAGCGCTCGGGTAACTGGTATCCGATTCCTGCACGGTTCCTGGAATTCTGGTCCTCTACAGCCCCGAATAGTGCGGGAAACGAATGTCTACGGTATTCCGTTATTTTTGAAATTTAACAAGCGTAGAAAAACTTGCAAAATTGAGAAATGTGTAAAGTTGCGGTAGCCATCACAACTTAAAATACCGTCGTTTAACCTGATTAAGGAAGAGAAGAAATCTAGTGAGATATGATAATACTATTTATGATGATTTAGATTTTGTATTTATTCGGTATATTCTTTTATATATTAATACATGTGACATTAAGGATGCAGTAATATATTAACTGGACATGAATCCTTGTCGAGGTAGACCCCTACAAGAACGAGACATCGATACTAAATATTTACAAAAATACAAAAGCTTACAAAACATCGACTACTATACAACGAACTCTTGTCTAGAATTGTTTCGCTTCGCCCCGTACCCTCTACACACCGAAAACTAACACGAATTTCCGTCAACGATTTGGTGACTGTCAACGAGCTTCCTAATTAATCTACACGATGCTTCGTTTATGTGTACGTCGCACTCTAAAATACAAAATCAGACTTGTAGGTTTCGCGGGGCGAAAATCGAATCATGCCCCTAGGCTCTGTTACTACGTTTCGTCGATATTGTAAAAACAAAGAGGATTTTTCTCCCCAAAATGTTTCGCAACAAAAATATCTGCCGAACTACAAAATTCAGTCGTGACAAACCTATCGTTCATACGTCCCATACACGGTTTTTGTTCGTCAATATTATTCTTGGTCCGATTTGTTGGCGAAGCTCTCTCGTCGAAGTTTTGCAAATTCCTGCCCCCGAACACGGGCAAAGTTAACAGAGTAATTGTATAATGACTATATACAACAAATGATCGCGTGATACCCGTGTCTAACGCAACGTAGACACTTTCAACAATGTACAAATTGATGTTCGCTCATGTTTTCGTAGTTTGAATTTCGATATTGTCTTAATCGATCTTAATTGACTGGTGCAGCATTGAAAAGAAAAGATTGTTCCACGAAAAAGAAAAGCCTCGGAAATCACGAGTACACGTGAAGGCATTACTAATTACACGACGGTTCGACTTTCTATGTTTACCATTTTACGGTTCGATGAGTGCTAATACGTTTCCTGTCTCTTTCTGAATAATTTGAAACAGGCTGATAAGTTTATCTACTAAAAAACAAGATGAAGAAATATACACAGCACGAGATTCGACCGTGAAAATGTTCGAATTCAGATTCCAACTAGATGATACGATTAAATCAGAGCCCGATTATGTTCTGGAAATATGATTCACCAGATACAATCACGAGCGAAGGATCAGGAAGACAGCTTCAAGAACAACGAATCAAAATAATTTTATCGATGAATAAACTCGCGGTAAAGTAATTATTCGTCTTCGTTTCTTTATTCTATTTACACGCTTTCTACTTCTCTCTATTTGCTATTTCAATTCTCGACTCTCCTTCTATACGAAGAAATCGATCTTCCTCGGACAGACAGTCCTCGTATCTTCTCTATCACACATTGGTTTCCTTCTTACCGCTCGAAAGAGCGGCAATCACGCGCGAGCGAGCGCAACGTGCTCGCCTGTGTAGCTGGTCACGGCATTGAAGTCACTGGCCCAGTGGAGATTTCAATGTCGCTCCCTGGAGTCCTCCCTGTGCGCACTGTGCCTGCGCGACTCCTGACCACTCGGCGTCACCGGGCGGCGTTTCGATCGTTTGAACTTTGCGATATCCTCCCCAAAAACGTCTCCGGTACGAAGGGCGGATATTAGGTCATCGAATTCACCCTTGTTGTCGCTTTGACCGTTACTGTTCGCCTCGTTTTTCTTGCTCAACGAAATGCTGTTTAGTATCCCCTCGCGGGAATTCTTCCTTTCCATCGTTCGTTTTCGTAGCTGTAATACATTGTTTTTTTTTTCAATCATTTGTACAATTGTTAACCTCTATTGACCCACTGACTAAAATCACTAAATATCAGTGGGCTCTTCATGGCTCGCTGTTAACGACATAAGCGTACTGGAAGGTATGTTACATACTTTATCAGCCATTTTTGTTATACATAAGTTGCTTAGAAAAAATAATAATTTGACATCATCTGGTTATGATTTCCCGTCATTACATTTGAAAATAATCTATGTAGGTACAACCGATTTATTGAAACATGGCGACACGTTTCGCCTGGTGAGGGCGACCGTCAGTGGGTAAATTATGAGGGAACAATTGTTTGTATGAAAGAAACTCTTGAATAAAATTTACAGATGTTCCATTCATATTTTGAATTTTGTGGAAATATTAATAGAGGGAAGATATTTTAGTGCAATCCCTGTTTCTCTAGATATGTTTGTAGGAATATTAATTTGAGGAAAAAAATGTAAAGTTCCATAAAGAAAGTTGTTGATTTTGATTGTAATATGTTTAGAAAATTTGTACCCACCTCTTGTTCCTGTTTCGCTCTACGTTCTTCTTCTTCTATCTTCTTCCTCATATTTTCCACGTCCTGCCTTGCTTCGGCTAACGCTTGAAGGAAGTTCTCAAAGATTCCGAAGAATTCATCCGGTTGCACGCCTGCTGAATCCTCGCCGAACAACCTAACAGCTCGATCGAACTGTTCAAGAAAAAATTCAGCTGTCACATTGGGCTCGTATCCTTAGTCACTATTTCGTAAATTTTAAATAGTGCATAAATATGGATTTAACACACAATTTATAAATTAACGTTATATGAAATACAAATAGATGATCATGTTTTCAACAAAACCGCACCCTCGTTTTCATGTCTTGGAACAGATCTTCGGCCTCGGCCAGCCTACATGTTGCTTGTGCTTGGAAATCCCTCATTGCAGGCAGGAACATATCGCCCTGGAGTACCTGAGATTGTCCACGATGGAATTCTAAAAGGAAGGTAACAAAATTGAAATTTCTATATAGAAAACAATTTTCGATATTGAAGATATAAACGTGAAAAATGGAAAAATGAAATCATCACCAGGGTGTATAAATTTCCATTTATTTTCCCTCCCTGTTCCTCGTTTTATTAATAAAAACAGTGTCGTTCAACCCACCTATTTCTCTCTGAACATCCTGAAGGCCATTTTTCAAGTTGGCCACTTCCTTTTGCAGGTCAGCCATGCTGACCCTAGCCGCGGTTCGAACGTGTGGCATGTCCTCCTCGATATCCAGCACCTCCCTGAATCTAGATTCCAAGATCTGGACCAAATAGTGCAACAAAGTGGTGCCTTTCGAACAGGAGGACTTCGTGTCGACTAGACGGTTCAACGAAGCTAAACGGAAGCCGCAAGCGTTGCCCCGAGCGTTTCCGCGATTTACGTAATTTCCTAGAGCTAACACCAATTCCAGGAGTTTCCTTAGTCGTCGCGATCTAGCGACCTGACGACTAGCTTCGAGAACCGCGCGCATTCTTGGCGTCAATTCCGCGATGCTGGCCGCGAATTTCTTCTTGTAGTGGAGGGATCGCAGCCTTTGTTCGTAGTGCGGTACTCTGAAACGAAATAATGTACAGATAAGGTATGATACGTACGAATTAGTGATCTTTGTTATTACTGAGATGAATCTCGAACAACTTCAGCTGCAGACGAGGAAATCAACGTACAGTGACTCACAAATTTGTTCAGAGAAGATTGTCACATTTATCTGACCAAATTACATACCGAACTGTGTATTTGTTTTCTGAATTATATTTATGATAAAAGTAAAAATAATGAGTATACATAAATAGGAAGGATACAAATTTTTATATTTAACTATTAGTTCAAAAGTATGTGAACAAATTTAGTAACTAAATAGAAGTGTATTAGTCTTTTAGTCGTCTGTTCACTCATCAATTGCAAATTGTCTATGACACAGATACATCTAAAACAAATAATATGGAAGGTACGTTCTACAAATCGAGACTCCCATATTGACACTGTGAGTAACAGATCTTCGTGGACTTTCCGCGAGTATTGCTTATCCGAACTCGATACTAATAGTACACAGAACACAGCTGATATTACCGATACATTATCGGCTGAGACTTATGTTTGCAAGGGGTCTACAAAAATGCATTACGATATCGTTATCATAGAACGAGAATTTAGAACGCTGACACGACGTAGTTTGTGGAAAACGAAGGAGTAACATAAAGAATCTATTCAAATGAGACATACAGTGGCTGATAACTTTCCTGCTAAAGACACAGTAGCGTGCAAAAGTTTCTGAACAATTAACTTTCTAATTCTAACAAGTGAAGAGAGATTTCGTTTGCAGATAATTAGTAAATACTTTTCCATGTTTGTAATTCCTGTTTCACGGTAGAGTAGCTCCAAAGAGATAATAGAAAAGTAATTATTTACAGACAATTGAATGCTACCGTAATTATTAGATTGAAGACAGGATGAAAAATGTGAATATTTAAAATTCTCTCTCGAAGCTGATTTATCTAAGAGATCTGTTATTTTCAAAATGAAAGAAGAAATTGAACAACGTACTTGGATATTTGGTACAAGAAACAATCGGCCCTGCTCTGTAGATCTTTCTGATGCATATCCAGGAGGGCCGCCTCCTCCGACGAGGGAATATATTTCAACAATTGCTCGACCATGTCTATATGTAGAATATTCTGTTGGTCCATCGACAGGATCGTTCTCGTGATTTCGTTATCGGACATTTTCAGTTTCGACAGCAATATCGTGCAGTTCTGGGCTCTTCTGGAATCGATCACCGACATTGTTTTTTTGTTCTTCCCCAGAGTCCTTAGATCCTCGATCGAGCCTTCCGCGGACACGCCGTTCTTTTGATAAGCGCAGAAGATCTTGTCGATCGACTCTAGATCCATGACGTTGTACAACTTCGTGTCGTCGAGTTCCGACCATATCGTACCCTGCAACTTTTGCTCAGGGATCTTCGACCAATTGAATGACTTTAGGGGGTTGCTTGGCTGAGGAACGTTCTTGATAATCTCCACCTGTATGACATTCACCCTTTATTTGTACAAAAAGTGCTTGTTCGAAATTCGGTTTAATCAATTCAACTTTTACGTAATTTAAAGACATTTTATGAATTCAGAAGAAGGTTCGTACTTTCATTGGAGGAGGTGCAGCAGGCATCAAGCAAGGAGGTGGTGGCGGAGCAAGAGGTGGTGGTGGAGGCGGCGGTGGCATAGGTTTCGCCTCGACCTTCTCGAGGACCTCGTCCTCGACGAGCTTGATCGTCGCTTTCGCATCATCCGGTAGACTACCGGAAGCGACCAACTGTTCCAACCGCTTTCTCTCGGATTTCTCGTTGTTTATCTGCCGCGAGAGCGCCTCCATGTTATCTTGCAATTCGGAAATTCTCTGTTTGGTCTCTATGTGCATCGAAGTCTCCTTCTCTAGACGTTCCTTCACCCTTGCCAGGCTGGCCTCCATGTCTTCCTACAAGAATATTACGGATGACGTACTATCCATTGGGTATAACTATTTTACATAATATTAGATTGAGTCATAAACGACTTTCGCTATTCTTTCCTTCCAAATTCATTTAGGTCCAAGCAATTGTAATCTTAAAATTGTACAGGATGATTCTAGAAAAGTAATATTAAATTTACAGTTATATTTTACGTATAGGAATTTTTAAAAAGTTTAATAACCTAATGCAGCTTTCGTTTTGAAATCATGTGGGTTCTTTAAATCACCTCTTTCTAGTTCTTAATATGGTTATTGATGTATATAACATTGCTATTATTACGATTTAATGAATGTTCACCAGCGCGGAAGTTACGTCACAGCTCGACCCAGTAAATAAAAAAGGAGACAGATCATGAATAAGCGAGTATCAATTTGCCGAGCAGTTTCAAATTACTTTCTCCTGTGTCCTCAGGTCCAACTCTTGTTCCTTCTTGGCCAATCTTGTCGACATGTCCGAGTTCTCCCGCTCCAACTCCTCGGCCTTTTTCCTGGCAGCGACCAGTTCCTCTTCCTTAGCGAGCAAGTGAACGATTTCCTTCACGTTGATCTCGATGGGGGCCACATCAGGATTCCTAATAGTACCCGTCTCGTTACCTTCGGACTGAAGGACTATTTGTTGGACGATCCGGTCGAAGAGGAGCCAGTGCTGGGGATGGGAACCGTAATCGACTGTAATACAGCAAAATAATCAATTAAAGTCTCTCTTCTTAATCACACTTCTTGGTTACATTCTTCGATTCCATTTGTATAATATTGCTGATATAATAATTGCATCTTTAAAACAATTCATCAAGAAACAAAAACTCACGTGGCAACAGAAGACAATGTTCCAGCAGGCTTAGCAAATGAGGATAGGCAGCAGTATGACTCAGCTTCCTCCTCAACAGATCGAACATCGCCGTGGCACTCTTCGTGTCCACATGTTCCTTCTCGAACTTCCTCGCCAGTTCTTTCTCGTCTTCGTTCCTGACCATCTCGAAGAAGTCCAAATGCCTGTCCAGCGTCTCGTTTTCATATTTCCGAAGTTTCTCGATAATCGGTTGGATGCCAAGCATCAGCAGCTCGTATCTAAGGTGCAACCTGAACTCCAGAGTAACCTGACCGGGCCCATAATTCAGCACGGCGTTGATGAACGACATGATCGCCGTCTTCAGGGACAAATTGTCCTTGTAGATACCGAAGTTCTTATCCAGATCGTTTATGATACTTTGGAAACGCGTCCGTTCGGAATGATACTGCTGGAAGTGTAACATCGCCTCCAGAACCTTTCGATGACCACCGGGGACCAAGCAAACCGCGCCCAGGATCTCCAGAACGGAGATTTTTGTCTTAATGTTCTCAGTCGCCAGCGACTGGGATATCGTGTTGATCGCGGTCGGATGCGCCAGAACGTGCGCCCTTCCGTTCTGTAAAATTAAACGCATCGTCCATCTCTGAACTCTGTCTGGAGTAACATTGTCGCGGAACGTTTCGAGGATCGTTTGCTCACCGAGTTGTTCATCAATGCCTTCAAGCATCCTATCACGCTCGTGTGCAGATTACTGTTCGCTGCTTCCGCGTCCATGGTCCCGAGAACTTGCAACAGAGCGTTCAACCCGTCGAGTTCTATGAACCTGAGGACAAAACTGTGGGGCTGCGTCCTCAGGGCGGTCTTCAGGGCCTCCACCTGACGCATTTGGTTCGACACCTCTTCGCCTTCCTCAGGAAACGGACTCTGAAATATACCATTAGATAATCAAATATTCAACCATGTATAAAGTAATCTTTGAAAAATAAAAACTTGCACTTTACATATCTAGAAATTTGAAAATACATCCGTGCAAATAGTTTCTATTCAAATATACCCTATTTGATGATATATGAGTATCACACGACACGATTCCTTAGAGTCAACGTTAATATTCAGTTTCCCAATACTCACGCTCGCTATCGTTTTCAGCCTATTGATATAATCCTCAGGATCGCCGCTCAGATCGGTGGTTCTCAGTCCGCCATTCTCCAGCGTCCCGTTCCCTTTTCTGGAGCAGTATATCTGCCACTTTTTGTTCGCCGGAAGCGCCAGAACCGCCTGACGGTTGGCCTGGGTCAGGTCCAGCTCGTCGACCAATTCGAGGAACATCTTGTTCAGCTCCTCCTCGGCTGGCATCGGCAGGGTCGGCGTCATCGCTTGAAGCGTGAGCGTGCCCGTGTGCTCCACAACGCAATACGTGATTTCCGGCGGCTCGTCATCCTGCGGACAAAAGAAAACCCCAGGCTGTTACACGGACTCTGGAGCACCGGCGCGGCTTGCTACCTTGACTACCGGTTTGACCTTCGTGGTGGTCGGTTTTTGCAGGATGCTTGCGCGCCGGATGACGACGGCGGTGGTTCATGATGATAGGCGACGCGACGATGCGCGTGTGTGGCCCGGAGGAACGTAGTTTAGGTCATTTGTTCGCGAGTTGCTACACGTTTTAGAAATTTTCTTTGGTCAAGAGTTAACCCTCGAATGGTAATGGGAGTTTCAAGGTCGTACTTGGTACGGTGAGGTCGAACCCGATCAGGGCTTTTTTTTTACTATTTTCAGACAGGTAGGCAGAACTTATTTTGAACATGTTTTCTTATTTAATTATGTAATTTGGAATAATAATTGAATTATGAAACATATGATAATAGAATGAAACGAGAATAATGAAAGAATAGTAGATAATAGAGTGGGAATAGCACAAGAGGAACTTGGGTCGAATACGACCCGGACATTACCGTTAGAGGGAGATAAAAATGACACACAATTCCTTAAAAACCTTTTTAATGAGATACTGAATATAATAAATTTGCTTAAAACTGTAAGATTGAAGAAGGTAAAAGAACACATCTATTGAGATAAATTTTTCTGTATAACTTCTGGTTTCAGTAGAAAGGAAGATGTTCACCCTATAGAATAATTATGGGTGCTAGTCTAGTAAACAACGTGTCAAATGATTAATGTTTACTTTCCTGTATTATTTTTACAAAATATTGCAAGTTGAATGAAATCCAGATAAGTACAGTCGTAGACAAAATCACGAAGCAAAGGATTGAAGACTAAGGGATGTTCCAAACATCTCAACATCAGCGCAAATAGCAGTAAAGAAGTTCGATTTGATCGAACAGTCGTCTTCGCTCGTTTGTTCTGTGCACCACCGACATTCTCGACTTTCCATGAAAACCGACTGAGAACGAAGACGATCGAGGGTATGTAAGCAGGTCTTGACCTTATTGAAGACGAGCCTCGGCATTAAATCGCGGAGTCGTCGAGATGCCGCCGATGAACCAACTTTACATGCGTACAGTGCGAGGAACGGACGATCACGAAAGCGCGCGGTCTGCGCAACGGGCACGTAGCAAATACCCTACTTTCAAAATTGTTCCAGAGACTTCGGTGGAATGACATTACAATAAAATAGTTCGTAACAGAACAAACGTCATTAAACACTTATCAATATTTTACAGTAATGCTGAGACCTTTCATTTCGTAAAGTAGACCGAAAGCAAGTTATAGGAGATAAGCTGTTGATTCATTGCCTAACATAGAGGCAACTGATTAAGCGAGACAAAAACTTTATTGATACTCATTTGATTTGGTTCATCCTCGTTTCAATTCCAAATTTCAAATACTGAATACTTCATTGACAGTGTATATTAGATGACTTTCTACTAAATCTGCAGGTATCTTCTTGAAAATGTTTAATTAATGAGAAGACAAGACTCTCATACCGTAAATACTGTCATTACGTATGAAAGAGGAAAAATTCTACAAGAAGAAAAGTTTAATGTAACAAGATTTACAGTTACCCAACTACCGCAAAGTACCCAAGAAAAAAGAGAGTCAGAAGCTTGTCCTCAGGCTCCGAAGAGATCCACGAAGCCCAAGGTTAACTAGTCCCTCGCAGAAACAAAGTTACACCCCTGGAATCTATTAAGTTATATGGAAATTACAGTGACGCCGCCTGTATAGGTTCGTCCTGCGATTCACGATCCACAAGTACCATTAAGATCGCGTGCTGTACCATTCTCGTGGTTCTTTCGCCCGACTCGGCCGAGCAGTCAAGCACCAACGGCAGCAAAGGTCAGGGGACCGGCACAGCCGCTGGATTCCAAAGGTACTTTCACACGTGACTAGAAAATTACCTATTCGCGTACTGGTCCGCCGATTTATTCCTCGCAAACATCCATCGTACGCCTCCGCGATCGTACGGCACCTGAAGTATTTATTGTTCGGGATGAAACTCGGTACTCGAGTGGCTCGTGCGCGGTTCATCTTGCGCGCTGTCGATACCGTTCGACGACTTTTATCACGGAACCGATAGGAAGAACTGCGTCGATGATATTGATAATAATATCTATAATCTATTGTCGACAGGCACTCGCGATAGAGAGATTGCTTACGATTATTTGCGGTGGAATTTCTGCATTTCGTTCAGAGTACACTGATTTGTCTTGTTGACAATTGTATATGTTGAGGCACCTAGAAGATCTCAACTTTAACAGACATTACGTGATTTTTAGTGTATTTTAATATAGATTGTTGTACATATCGAATGTACCTAACTGTGCTTCGCATTGATATCTCTTATCGGATATTATCTTCCATTTGGAGCATTAGAAGTGGACAAAGGAAGAAATTTTTATCAATTTCAGGAATTCTCTTCGATAGCATCACCATTCACTCAATAGTGCTCTTAACATCTTTATGAAAATCGAAACTTCTAGGGAATATTCTTCCATTTTCCATTGAGATCGATAACACGAAAAAGATCAAGGAGAACAATAACTCACAGAACAAATCTTCCACGGTTGTTAATAACAAGTTGTACATTTTTGGAGCATAAAAGAAATTTACTTTCTACCATATAGCTGTTGAATCTTTATTCCGGGCCATTGTGGCGACCCAAGGCCTCCGAAAATCCATCTTCGCTGGCGCGTTCACACGCGGTGCCAGCACGTGAACGCGAAACCGGAGAGGAGAGGCGATAAAGCGTGACACGCGACACGGCCAGCCGGTATACAGCGCGTGCACACGTGAGCGCTATAACCCAGGAAAAAAGCACGAAGGAGGTCATCCGGTTAGAGGCCTGGACTCTCGCGTTTTACATGGACTGGTCCACGCGTTCCTCGGAGGACGAAAGTCTATCCGGCGTGACGAATGCCTCGCATAAATAACGCGGACAGAACCTGACGGCGAAGGAATCGAGACGAGGTACACACGTATAACGTTCGGGCCAAGGGTTTTCTCGGCTTTGGGCGACGATCCGTGGCGCCGTTCGCGTTCAGTGATTAGATTTATGGAGTCTAACGGGGCGAACGGCCATGGAAAATACGACGTCCCCCGGGAGGGTGCAGTGTTTATTAGGCTCTGGTACGCCGGCGAATGGTCCTGCTAATGATTCACCGTGGGCTTCTCCGCGGGGACTTGGCGAATTTATAGAATCCATCTAATGAACGCATTGTACGTACGTGTACATACCGTAAAGCCTAGGACCAAATCGGGCGACAATCGAGTCCGTGTACCGAGAGCGTTGGTCACTGCTGGCAATGTCTTTATAGGATGTAACGAGCTGGACTTAGAAACATGTGCTTAGTTGGGTACGTCGTGTCCGGTTGGTCGGATACAAGCGATACTACTGAATACTTGTTTGCGGGTGACTGTTACTTGGTCTGGACTAGACTTAATTCTCAAGGAATCGTACTGGGTTACGATAACCCAGTCCGTCCGGAAGACACTTGGCATTTCTGAACGGTAAGGGGTGGGAAGTTAGGACTGTGGTGTTTTATCAGTTAAATTGTGAGTAAATTGCTTATATATTAGACGTTAGAAAGAATAAACTTTGAAATCGGTGCAGTACATTCTAACAAGGGAAGGCACGGAAGTGTCCCCTTTCGATTTTGATGAAACTTCCTGTGTCTGTTAAGCAGTCAAAAATAAGGGATACGTATTTTTTTTTATCGGTCGAGGCGCGACTTCATGGCTGAAACCGCCCTTCGAAGTTTTGATCCGAAAGTTTTCTGTAATAAACAAATTATATTTTGGACAATTTGTTAGCACCATATTATTCTATATAAAAAACCGCAAACCTCGTCCATTAGAAGTTTTTATGGATCTCCTTTGGTTTTCGAGGTAGTACTTCCGGGTCGAAACTTCGAGGGGTGGTTTCACCCCTTATAGTCGCATCTCAACCGATAAAAAAAATACGTATATCTTATTTTTGACTGCTTAACAGACATGCGAGGTTTCATCAAAATCGAAAGGGGACACTTCCGTGCCCTCCCTTGTAAGATATAGGTAAAAGAACGGTCTGGGTTAAGTTGACACATGTGTGGTTGAATCGGTAGGAAGATATAGTGTGGTCTGTGTAGCAGCAGAAAGGAAATGTATTTATAGACTGTACAGAAAAATGTTTATACAGAAGGCTCCACACCTGAGAATTTTGGACAGTTTTTAATAGTCCTGAATAAGCGAAACAAGCACGTTGAAGACATTCAGAGGGATTTCAGTGAATTTTAAATTCGCAGTGGGAATAACTTGAGTGAGAAATTTACAGGCCGATTAGTATGGTCAACCAGACAACACAATTCGAACTTCTGCGCTGAATATGGTAATTGGATTTGACTGGCAGACTTTGCCCGTGTCACTTGGCGCGGTTCACGGTCCCGTTTTTCGTATAATACATGCGTTCTAGCGTTACCTTTCGACGGAAATGGAATACACAAGTATTTTTCGTTTACACACACCGACAAGTGTACACATGCTGTTTCGTGCTTAGAAACACCCACGCGCGCGTGGGCGATGAGTCACCGTACCATAGAAGCGTGTAAGATACAGACAATTAGCACGGAAAGCGATTTCAAGTCGTTTATAACGTTATGGATTGCGAAATGTTGCAATAAAGAGTTCGCCGTTTCCTCAATAGATTTATAACATTATGATGTAGGTTGAATTCAAGATAGTTCCTTGATCAAATGATAAGACAAAATGGCGTCGGATGTTGGAGAAGAATTCGCAATATTGTTAAGTAGAAGGTTTAAGTCAAGTTTAGTTTAGGATAATGACAAATTAGGTCCAGGCAGGCCCAGAAGAATATTGTTGAAGTAGCAGAAGTTTGGGTGAAGTTCAGTTTAAGTTAATGATAAATTAGGTCCAGCCAGACCTAAAAGAAATTCAATTTAAACTAACGATAGAATTTAGACCCAGAAGAATATTGTTGAAGTAGC